ATAATCATAACAAAACTCGAATTGCAGCACAGGCTTTAATGCCTGATGAAACGATTGAGTCTTTCCGTTGGGTTATCGGACAATTAAAAAAAGCAACTGGAGTTTCTCCAAGAGTTTTAATGACAGATGAAGATCTTGCTATGAAATATGTGGCAGCTTATGATCTTTCAAACACAAAGCATTTGTTTTGTTTATATCATTTAAGTCAGAACATTTTAAAAAATCTTCGAAGTAAACTCGGTGAACAGTATGCAGAATTTATTAAAGAGTTTTATTTGGCACACAATAGTTTGAGTGAAGATGTATTTGAAGCACGATTTACAAGCCTTTTAAATAAATATCCGACTGCATCTTCATATCTACATAAGCTATTTTTAAATAAAGAATCATGGGCATGCGCTTATACGTTTAAAATTTTTAATGGTGGAATGCAATCAACTCAAAGAGTTGAGGGGCTTAATAATCATATAAAAACTGCTATTAATAGTTCATCAACATTGTTATAAGTAATGGAAGCAATACAACAACATATTGAGCATGAAAATTTTAATGAACAGTTCAATTTATGGTCTCAGGAACGAATTAATTATAATGATAATATTGTTTTACGTTTTGTTTTTTCAGAAATCATCCAACAAATCAATAAATATTTAACTCCAAATCTAGCAACTGAGCAACAAAAACAGATAGTTCAATCAACGATATACCGTGCTCAGATATTCAATGTATGTAGGTAATAATTGGAGTTATTGTATTTGTTATTTTAATTAACTAATTCTACTTTACAGTTGTGGGACTCTGATAATTCGTTAAACTTACAAGAAATTACATACGATAATGATTTTATTGAGAACATTTATGACATTTCACAATTATATTTATTGGCTCTGATTAAAGAAAATGAATATTCTTCCGTTAAAGAAGTTTGGAAAACCATGTGTTTAACTTCAGCTAAATCTATTCACTATGTAATACTGTATGAAAATGGTCGTTATATATGTACTTGCCTTTTATTAATTAGTCATGGACTTGTGTGTCAGCACTTTTTTTGTATGTTACTTGAATCGGACTTTGCGAGATTTCATATAATGTTGCTACCAATTCGATGGTGTAAGGATAATGTGACTGAATCGGAACGTGCACAAGAGCCATTTCTAACATCAAGTCGAAATACTGAATTAACACCGATTATACATCAATTAAGTAATGTGATGAGCATAAACTTACTTAGAATTAATGATATTCAGGAAAATAACCTTCAAAAATCAATAAATAAAAAGTATCAGTATAACAAATCAATGAGCCTCGCAAAGAAAGCTATTACATTACAGGGTGAAAGTGAAAATGACAATGAATTAGATACTATCTTGAAAAATTATATTGAAAAGAAGATACTTCAGCATGAAAAAGAAACTAAAGAAAGGGAACAGAGAGTTCTTAGAGAAAATTACAATTTAGGGAATGTTTTAGCTGTAAAGACAGATAACGAACAAATAATTTCTATCGATGATGTTGCTAATCTTTTACGTCATGTTGGAAAAGGGGCTTCATGCAAGAATCATATTAAGGGTGTACAAGAAGAATATTAACCAAAAAAGAAAGTTAAATCAATTGCAGGTACCGGTACCAGACTTTGTGGATACTGCCATGAACCCAATCATTATCAAAGCACATGTCCACAAAAAAGATCTAACCTAGAAGAGTAACAGTAGGCATTTATTTCACATGCTCAATTCAAAAAAAATATCTGAATTTGCTTGTATTGTACTAGTAGTGCCAGGAGAAAACCTGAAATTCAGATTTTCTCTTGACAACACGTGTCTACTTTTTTTTATAATAATCAACCAACGGATATATGGTACTTCTGTATGTTGTAAGTATTTTTATTAGTACCCTTTTTAATAGTTAGGGTTAGGGTAAGTGCTATTGTTGTCTTTCTTCTTGTTAGAGGTTATTAGAAAAAAAAACTTTGTTTGACGAATTTTTTTTTACAAGCCGGGTTTGCTACTAACTAAGTTTTTTTTTTATCTTGAGGTTAGGCGAGTCCTAACAAGGTTTTTTTTTATGTTAGGGTAATGACAATTAATCGGATAGCATTTTTTTTTAAAAAAAAGGTTCTCTTTGCATGAGGTTAGTTCAAGTAGCTTTTAGATTGCTATACTATCATATTACGATTTGAATAAATGCTAATAAGCTTCTTTCATGTTCGATAATAGGATAAATGCCTTATTTCTCATATTGAAGGTCGGTAAGTTAAAGCTTGCATTTAGGGTTAGATAACTTTTTTTTAGGTATTTAACATTTCAGTTAATCGTTCTGGAAAACGTCAACAAGCGTTAACGAAGTTCTTTTTATTACATGCAGTAAAATGATGATCGGTTATATGCTCTAGAATTAGGTCGAATAATAATTGATCAAGACGTTTTATGTTTAATAAAATCATTTGTACTGCTTATTATGTGCAATACTTTACACTTACCTATCGTACACATGTATATGTCTACGTACGTTATACCATTATGTATGTACGAATTTAGCTTAGGTGTGAAATAAATTTTGTATAACATTATGCAATGTAAATTTACCGATTCATGTCACGTGATAGGGTGTTATATAACACAGTGTTATAAATATAATTTTCCTTTTGTTTTTTAGTTCCTTTATTAGCAAAATTTTTAAGCAGATATATATTAATATATAGCATTAAATTGATATATATTGATTGAAAATAATCAATATATATCAATTAATTGTTATATATCAATATATATTACTAATAATATATAATGATTATCAATATAAAATAATTATAAATGATTATAATTACTATTAATAAGTAACAATTTGTATAAATTTTGTTAAATTTTTATAAACTTTAAATTTAGTTTTCTTGATAATTAGTAATTCAAATTAGTTTAAATTTTTACTGTAAATAGTATATACATGTAACTATATTATACTAAAGTTTTAACCAATTTAGATTGATAGTTCTTGAAAAATTATTTATAAATATAATTAATTTTTTTAAAAAAATTAACTATTATTTACAAGTAATTCTTAAAAACTATTAATCTAAATTGGTTAAAACTTTAGAATAATATATATACTATTTACAGTAAAACTTTTAACTAATTTTGATTACTAGTTATCAAAAAAACTAAATTTATTAAAGTTTATAAAAATTTAACAAAAATTGTTATATATTGTTATTAATTACTAATAATAATACTTATCAGAAATGCTATATATTGTTAGTAATCTAGAGATTACTAATGATATATATCACTTTTAAAATTTTCTTAATGTTGTTCATATAGGGATTTTCTGAACTAAATTTACAAGATTCCTCTATGTGTTGTTGAAGCTAAGTTTTTTCTTGTCTTTTCTGCTCTTCTTATAACTTGTGTAGATTTCTATTCTCAACTTATCAGCAAAATTTTTAAGCAAATATATATTGATATATAGCATTAAATCAATATATATTGATTAATTGATGATTCACTAGTCATCTGAACAAAGATCATAATATAATGTAATGCAAATCACTATGTAATTTACTATAGACTGAAATGCAGCATGCACCTATCTAAAACTTTTTTTGGCACTAAGTTAACAGTTTAAGTCAATTAATTAAAAGTTGTAAAGCTTACTGAGGCACATCTAATAATAATTAGATCATTCAAATTGGTTTAGTAGATGCTAAGATATTGTTAAAAAATGCTTGGCCAATTATATAAAATTTTATATAAACAGACTATTGTTTATATAAAATTTTATATAGAATTTTACATAGTTAGCTAAGTGTTTTTTAATAATATCTTGGCATCTACTAGACCGATTTAGATAATCTAATCACTATTAGATGTGTCTCAATAAGCTCTACAACTTTTAATTAATTGACTTGAACTATTAATTTAGTATCAAAAATGTTTTAGATAGATGCATACTGCATTTCACTTTATAATAAGTTATATTATAATTTGCATTATGTTACATTATGATCTTTGTTCAGATGATTGGTAGATCATCAATTAAAAATAATTGATATATATTGATTAATTATTATATATTAATATATATATAATAATTATTGATATATAATAATTATAAATGATTATAATGATTATTAATAAATAATGATTTGTATAAATTTTATTCAATTTTTTTAAATTTTGAATTTAGTTTTCTTGATAACTAGCAATTTAAATTAGTTAAAATTTTACTGTAAATAGTATATACATTTAACTATATTATACTAAAGTTTTAACTAATTTAGATTAGTATAATATAGTTAAATGTATATACTATTTATAGTAAAATTTTAACTAATTTGAATTGCTAGTTATCAAGAAAACTAAATTCAAAGTTTAAGAAAATTTAATAAAATTTTGTTATATATCATTATTAATTCTAATAATAATACTTGGCAAGGATGCTATATCATTAATAATTTAAAGATTACTAATGATATATATTATTTTTAAAATTTTTTTGATACTAAAAGTTTGTAGTCTAAGCAGTCTTTTTTTATATAACCTGCTTTGTTACAGAAGAAGCACATCTTTGAGGCCTCTCTTTAGTTAATAGTGACTCTGTAGCTCCAAACATATGTAAATCTAGAAATACAATTTGTCAGATCTAAATAATTTGTTATTTTAAAAATTATAATCTACTGGTCTAATATTACTAAAGTTTCTTTATGTATTAATAGTTTAATCAATAAAATTATGCCAATATCTTGAAATGCTTTTCTAATTTGTTAAAAAATAAATTTTATTTTTCCTATTAGTATATTTCAAATTCTAACTAATAGAAAGTTGCATCTGATATTTATAAAAATATATTCTTATAAGGTTTGCTTAAAGATAATAACACCTTCTGCTGCATATTGTTGTTGTTTGTTTTTATCTAAAAACACAACTTCTAAGTAGATTCTTTTGTTCTTGCTAATTACTAGTCAGACTACAATAAGGTCTTCTTCTATTTTATATTTTAGAACTTCTATGATTCTTGTAATAAAGATGTTTTCTAAACTAAATAATTCAAAGATTAGTACATTCTCATTTTTGGTAATAATTCTTTTTTGTAAAGAATAGATAGAGTATATGACTTATTTTTTCTAATTTTAAGAATAAATCAGACTACTGTTTTGTTTGGTTTGTTTTGTTTTAAGCTTCTAATTAGTTGTTTATATGATTAAATATAGGCTTCTTATATGTTATTTGTTTTGTTTATTTATTTGAACACTAATCTGTATTGTTTAAAAAAGTGACTAAAAACAAGTTTTTTTTTTCAAGTTCTGCTGTTGTGACCTTTTAACCTTTAGAGTTTTTTATAATAACCTCTAGCATTTTTTTTTTTGTTTATTCTCTGCTACAAGAATATTAGATGTATTGTTTTTTTTTTTGTTTTATTATTTTGTTTATATCTTTGAAATTAAGACAAGATGTTTCTTTAGAGCTTGCAATTTTAGTTTTTTTATTTTTTCTGTAACTTATTGATGCTAGACTAAACATAGTTAAATAAGCTTGTTTTCTTTTTCTAAGTACAAGGGTTTCAGCTCTTTGTTGTTTTAGTAAATTTTTTCAATAAAGATTTAATAGTTTTTTGCTTAATTTGTTCTCTACTACTAAAAGTAGATAGAGAGAATGTAAGTTTAGCTATATTATTATTATATTAAAAAATTAAGATAATCAAATTCTCTTATATTAGCTAATATTATTAGATTAGCAAAAAGCATTTGACAAAATAAATTATAAATTTATTATATAAGTGTTAAAAAAAATAAACTTTGATATTAGTTTTTTTAAAATTATTAGTATTTTTTTTAGTTTATAAATAACATATATTGCAAACTCAAAAAGATTATTTGAACTTATAAGAATAGAAAAAGATATGTAATAAGAAAATCTACTATTAGCTTTGCTATATATTTTGGTATTTAACTTACTAATTCTTAAACTTTAAGAACAAATTCAAGAAATTCAATTTAAAAATCTATACTTTAAAGTAGTATTATTTGCAAATAATCTAACTATTAGAGTTAAATTATCTGTAGACTAGAATAGAATTCTAATACTTCTTAAAAAATATAAAAAAACAACAAATATCAAGATTAATTATGATAAATCTATTATAGTTTCTCTTATAAACATGGCTGTGAAATATGATGACTTAGTAAAGTGATCAGATTGTTAACTCTTAAGTGACAGATCTAGAATTCAAATCTTAGTATTAGCAAAAATTTAAAAATTTCTTTTTGCATTATGGTTAACTGTCTTCTGCTATTGGTTAGGATCAAATATCTGTTATTCATATTACAGTATATCAGTCTAACTAAAAGATCAAATAGTATTTATATAATAGTTATATCTTGTACAAAAGAACACAAACTAGTACTGGGCAGTATAAATCTATGATAAGTTTCTGTAGTCATGTAAATTACAAAAACTAGAAAGATAGAAGCCTACTTAAAAGTTTAAGTAAAAAGATAGCTCAAACATTTAACAATGCTATTGTAAAGACTAGATCTATAAAATAAAGCTAGACTTATAAAGTTAGACAAATATGCTAATCTTTAAAAAGAGAT